TTATAACACCATTTTCAAATAACTGAGTTGAATTCTTGAAAACAATTATAAATTGCAATAGAATCTTGCAAAATAGTACTCGTTTATATTCTAAAATCAACATTAAGAATAATATAAAGCATCATATTAAGTTTGTAAACATTGTGTCTCTAGAGCATTAATCACTTCCGGTATCAACCATATAATTATTTCCCCCAGAAAATTTTTGAAATTGATGTTTACAAATAAACATTGATATATTTAGAATAGATCATAGAGACACACTGGAGATTGAATGAAAAAGAGGTGGCAAAAAAAAGAGTTCATTGTCAATGGCAGAGGTCGCTTCTGTGCCTCTACATGGAAGGCTATCCCTTGGACCTGTTCATATTCAACAGGTATGTTCATTTATGTTTTTAGTTTTTACAGCACAGCAAAACAGAAATTATTCAGTTAAAATTATGTTAGTTTTATGTTAGTTTTATATAAGGCTAACTCTTTTGAAATCAATGAATTAATTCGTAATTTTACACATGTTACAATTTTGCAGATTGGAGAACTGTCAAAAACAAGGGCCAGTGTTTGTAAAGAACTGCAGATTGTTATGGAGGGTCGTTCTGCCGTCTTGACCCTTTGGGGGAGAGAGAGAGAGAGAGAGCAGAACAATCCTCCATAATTTTAGGAGCACTTACAACATATGGAATATCAAAGCAAATGAATTTCGTGGCCAGAGGGCCTACAATTCAACACCATCAACAACATTTGAGGTAAATGAACTTACTTACTCATATGATCTGAAATTGTTTTAATTCTTCAAAAAACAAAAATAAGAACAGTAAAATCCCTACAGTTTTAATAAAGAGTTTTGGATATAAAAAGAATAACCATTGCAAAAGTCACACATTGACTCAGAAGTTAGAAAATGAGACATGTACCATTACTAAGAGGTTAAAACAACTTAAATTTGTTTTAATAAAAAATAACAAGAATACTTTTACCGGTAATCATCTAGATGATGAAACGATTATATTTCAGGACAGCTTAAAAGATTGTTTTAGCAATGAATTAATCTTGCATTTGTTGAAGTGTTTGATATACACACATGAAATTACTTGTAGATGGCTGAGGAAATTGCGGTAAAGGCTGACAATTTTGAGGGTGAAATTGAATCTGTCTCCTTTGAAAGGAAAATATATATAGTCTGAAAAGGTAACTGAAAACATCTTTATCATATTTAAGGAATGAAGCTTATTTAAAGTTATGTTATACGATATAACATAACTTGGGGCAGTTTATGCTTTATAAACCGCAAAGCGGTTTATAAAAAAGTATTAACTGCTCCAAGTTATGTTATATCGTATAACATATGTTGAAATAAGCTTCATTCCTTATAATTTAATTTCAGTGTAGACAATGAGACATTTTTCCTCCGGAAAAAGGCTCCAAATTGAGTATTATTTTAAAAGTAACGTCAAGCGGAGCAATACGTTTTTGACGTAACTCATTGTGACGTAGGCAAGTTAAAATATTATATGTTGCTCTGAATGATTCAGTCAATGAAATTGCTTGATACAAGTGAAATTAAATTATTAATCTTTAAAATATTAATACTTTCTTTTGGAGCTAAATTATAATTCGGATAAGATCATTCATAAAAATTTCAATAGCAACCTTTATCCAATTGTTAATTAAACATGAACTATCATGATAAGAACTGAAAAGACCCTTTTTCTACTATAAAGCTAGACATTTTACCATTTGTTTTTTAGCTCACCTGAGCCGAAGGCTCAAGTGAGCTTTTCTGATCACATTTTGTCCGAAGTCCGTCTGTCTGTAAACTTTTCACATTTTTAACTCCTTCTCAAGAAAACTGGGCCAATTTTAACCAAACTTAATACAAAGCATTCTTGAGTTTAGGGGAATTTAAATTGTTAAAATGAAGGGACATATCCCCTCGCAAGGGGAGATAATCAAGAAAAGACAAAAATAGGGTGGGGTCATTAAAAAATCTTCTAAGAACCACTGGGCCATGAAAGCTGAAACTTATGTGGAAGCATTCTGAGGTAGTGTAGATTCTTAATTGTTAAAATCATGACCCCCAGGGGTAGGGCATGGCCACAATAGAGAATCCAAGTTTTACATAGAAATATATTAAGGAAAAATCTTTAAAAATCATCTTCTCTGACAAGAACCACAGGGCCATAAAAGTTGACACCTAGGTGGAAGCATTCTGGGGTAGTGTAGATTCTAAATTGTTAAAATCATGACCCCCGGGGGTAGGGTGGGTCCACAATAGGGAATCCAAGTTTTATATAGAAATATATAGGAAAAATCTTCTTCTCAAGAACCAGTGGGCTAGGAAAGCTGAAAGTTAGGTGGAATCATCCTGGGGTAGTGTAGATTCTAAATTTTTAAAATCAAGACGGGGGGTGGGGGTAAGGGGCCACAAGAAATATAAGAAGAGTGGAAATCTGGTAAAGAACTGCGTCACCAAAGTTACTCAGGTGAGCCATGTGGCCCATGGGCCTCTTGTTTTCTAAAAAATTTATATTATCTAAGTATTTTCTATAGTTAACTAAATATGTATAGTATTGAATTATAATAAACTGTAGTAATTTTTTTGGTTTTTTTATAATAATTACATGCTATTTATGTTTCAAATTACATGTATTACCAAGTTTATAAATTTACTTTACAGTAATCTGGTAGAGATGTTGGGTGATATTGAACAAAGAGAATCCCTCTTCCCCAATAACAAAAATTGTCCAGGGAAAGAGAGTACAGGGGAGGGAAAGTAAAGGGGAGATCATGGAAATGTAAGAATTTTAAAGTTTTTACCTAAAACACTATAAAGATGTTTTTTTTTTTTTTTTAAAGAAAATGCACTTATTAAATTCATATATAAATACATCATAAGAAAAGCATCATTGAACTGAATTCTTTCTCATTCTGTATATTTCTTTCTATTCCAGCACAGTCAAACAAAATAAAAAGAAGTAGAAAAATGGATCATTTTTGTATATATTGATTTAATTCAAATTCTTCACATTGTGAATTATCCAGGCCCCAGGATGGATCATGAAAATCATAATCTTAATACAAAATCTTTATGTTGTAAAAAGTATAATTGTAGATGTCTTATATGTAGAGAGTTAAATATATTAAAAAAAAAAATAAAATTGATGTACTTCTTTGTTTCAAGATCAGTCGAAAATATCTATGAGAATGTACTCCTTTATAAAAGATATTTGCAGTTGACCCTGCATATATGACATTTGACCTTGCCCCTTTGCAAGATACGTTTGTTATTGCTACTCCTCCAAAACTGTAAACAATAGAAGTTTGAAACCTTCACCAATGTCTTTGACTAATTGAGGAGACTCCACTCTATTCATTGCAAAAGGATTCGTAAACCCCTTCAATGAGTTATTGCCCCTGAAAGTTTTTAAATTTTACAAAAAATTAAAAACTTTTTAAATGAGAAGTGGTAGAGACACGGGACTAACAGCATAAGATTCATTGACCTTTGACATTTATGCAAAGGTCAAGGCCATTCCAAAAATGAGAAATTCAGCTCTTTTTATATCTTTTGTCTTTCTAACTTACACTATCTGTCTTTGCATCTTTAATATGTACAGTTACTCTTAAAACTATTTCAGAGAATTTATTCTCCTAAGATTGACCCTCTTAAAAGTTATTGCCACTTGTGTGGAAAACCTTTTTATCAATATTCCTTCGTAACTGTAAATGATAGAGACATGAAACCTTTACTAGTGTCTTTTAGGGTTTTTAGACACAACTTTAAATTTTCAATACAAAAGGATTTGATGACCCTTATACTTCTTTTTCATGAAATTTAATTTTTATAAAGAGTTAAATATCAAACAAAATTGAAATTCAAAGGTTGTGGAAAAACCTCTAATTGTTCTGAGAACAAAGTCTCCTAGTTAATATTGATATTCTGACCTTTCCTCTTTGGGAAAATGAACTTCTTTTATACAGACTGTAACCTTGGCTATAACTTTTAAACAGCTGGTGCTATGGCTTTTACATTTCATGTCTATTCACAGTGACCTGAGGCCTGTTCAACAGATAGAGCGCTCGCAAACATTTCTATTGGAGGTACAATTGCATAAGGAATTTTGGCAAGCGCTTGCGAATGTTCGTTCTGTTGAACAGGCCTCGGATATCCCCCTGCATGCTATCAATTTTCACCCAATGGTCTTGGGAGTTTGACCCATTTTAAACAACATTGTTTTAAATAGTAGGTACCGCATCTTTCCTATTTCACATGTATACTCAACAAAAAAAGAAACGCATGTTGATTTACTCATCCAAGAAATTTTTAAAGTATATATGGAACAACTATTTTGTACATCATTGGATACCTGTGACCTTTTTAAAGGACAACATGCAGTTTTAAAACCCAAGTGTTGAATTATCTCCCTTGATTAAACGTGTTTATAAAAGTAGTGTTTTTCAAGATTTCTTCTAAATCGGATGTCTATTTTCGTTGATATTTTGGATTTAGAGAAACCATTCACACTCCTATTAAACCCATATTTAAGATTTGATTGCAGTGTTGATGCTGCAATGCCACGCCGAAACAAAGATGAACACAACCAGGCTAACAATGATACTAAATGGAGCTACGCAACAGAAAGTTGCAACTGCATTTGGAATACATGAATGGGCTTTGCAACCGTTAAACTAACGTCGGAAGACCAAGAATTGACCGTTCTCAGGTAACCACACCCAGGCAAGACCGTCAGACCCCCCCCTTTCAGCACCTCATGCAATTCATAACTTGCTGTAAAAACTGCTGCTAAACAAGGACATCAGTGTTTTACGAACAAATCTTGTTTTGTTTTTTTTTTGATAATCCATCGTTTGATGTTGAACCACATTAGGATACCTAAAGGTTCTAGATATATAAGGATGCTTGTAAATTTATTTAACAGACTACCTCAATCAGTGTATAAAATTAGCTCTAAATGAAATATACAACTATAAAACATATATTCAAATGTAAGCCATGCTTTATTGAGATAAATACTGGACAGATCAAAGTATGATGTAGAAAACCAGCAAAAACTGGAATAAATACTACGGAGTCTAAACATAACCGATAAGGAATAGGAAAATACCCAGAAAAGTGTCCAAATAAAATAGATAGCGGAACAAAAACCACTAAACATAACAAACAAAGCACATATGCAGGCAGCACTTGGTGATCATAAAAATATATACAAATAAAACTCGCCCTCATTATAAACAGCGAGTGATAATTCCTATAATTAACGTCAGTGTCTTGACAATTATATATAAATCAGATATTAATATGGCGCTATCCAAACTCTCAAGATGACTGCTGATTGGCTGACAGTGGTAAAATCGGCGATCTGATTGGTTACTACTCCTCCACCACGATTTCTTCAACTTTCAGCAAGAACTCTACAATCTCCTCATCATTTTCCTCATCCTCCAGTGTGTCCGTGTCCACACCTGTCATCATGTAAGCAATTATTAACAATAGTTAATGTATTAAATTTTCTTTCGATTACATTTATTTTTCATTTTTAAATGCTTTCTCCAGTCTCTAAAAAAAATTTACATCGATTCTAATCATTCTTATTCTGGAATATTTGACATTTAATTGTTGGTAAAATTGAAATCATTACTATTTATTTGGGGTGGTGGAGGTGTTAGGATTAAATGAACTAGTTTATTACTAACCTCCTCTTAGCTCCAGTCTCCTGTATTTCATCCTCTCCCATTCCGCCACACATTGTTCTCGGAAATGCTTATAATCACTCATTAATTCGCTTCTCTTCTCAAGAATTTCCTAGAAAACATTTTAAACACAATTAAAAGTTATAATCAAACTTTTTTTAATAGTACAAGAATATAGCGAATTTATGGCATGCAAAGAAACAGTCTGGGAAATACTTATTTGGAGAAGTGGGAACTTACAGTAGAAACATTGGACTGTCTCAATCTGTCCATGGCTTCAAACTGCTCCGTGTACTTCTTCATATTCTTCTTAATGGCCTTTAAAGGAAAACAATTGTGTAAGTGTCAAAGTTAAAGCTTACTCTAATCTGTTCAACAGAAAAGTTTAAGAGTTATAGCTTACTGGAATCTGCTCAACAGAGAGCTATCAAGTTCAAATGTAATGGAATCTGTGCACCAGCTAATTTTACATCAGTTATAACTTACTCTGATCTGTTCAACAGACAGTAGGCTGGGAGGGCGTGGTCGCCATAGTAACTGACAGAACCTCTCCAGCTGGATCTTCTGCAGCAGACGTCCTTGGAAAGACCAGATCCAGTAGGCATTGTCCACCTATAAAGAGAAAAATTTTAGTTATTTGAAAAGAAAGTTACTAGACATGACTTCCAACATGTCATTTTTATCATGTGAATTTCACCTTTCCCCCTTTCTCTGATATTAACTTACTTTGTGTCCCCACCAGCTGACAGCAGACACCACATATCTCCCTGTGGGATCCCACTCCACATCCGTCGCCATAAAATGTTCGGTCTGAGCCATCACGGTGACGTCAGATGCATCCACAAACTCCAATACCCCATTCATACTGCAAACAACATGACAGGGCATTAGATTATCAATTTTCTTTGGAGCATTCTAATAATATAAGTTGCTTTAATGGTTATATTTACATTACAAATTTATTTTTTCAAACTTACTTGCGCAATCCTGCTAGAACAATAAATTGACCTGTTGGACTCCAGAACAGGTGGTTTGCTTGCCTTCTTTCCAAAGTTTCTGCAAAAAATAGTTGCAGTATAATGTCTTGTAAAGTGATAAACATAACAAGCGATGTTTGTAAAACACTTATGCCCCCCTCCCCCAAATTGGAATTTTTCTAAGTCCAAAAGGGCGTAACTCTGTCAAAAATGGTGCAATTGTACCCAAAACAGAACTTGATCAAGATATTTATCTGATAAATCTGTATATCAAACTTCATCTCAGTATGTGCAACCTCTGGGAAGAAAATGAACGGAAACTGCAAATAATTAGAATTTTTCTAAGTCTAAGGGACAAAACTCTAAGAAAAATGATGCGATCGTACCCAGAACAGAACTTGACCTACATATACCTCTGATAAATCTGTACGCTAGATTTCATTTCAGTATGTGAACGGTTGCAAAGAAAATGAACCGAAATTGCAAATAATTGAAATTTTTCTAAGTCCAAGGGGCATAACTCTGTCAAAAATGGTGCGATTGTACCCAAAAAGGAACTTGGCCTAGATATTCATGTGTTATATCTGTATACCAAATTTCATTTCAGTATGTGCATCGGTTGTGAAGAAAATGAACGGAAACTAGTGGACTGACAGACCGACAGACAGCAGCAAAGCAATATGCCCTCCCTTCTTCGATGGGGGGGCATAAAAATGGTGCAATCGTACCCAAAACAAAACTTGACCTAGATATTCATCTGATATATCTGTATACCAAATTTCATTTCAGTTTGTGCAACGGTTGCGAAGAAAATGAACAGAAACTGCAAATAATTGGAATTTTTTTAAGTCCAAGGGGCATAACTCTGTCAAAAATGGTGCGATCGTACCCTTAACAGAACTTGACCTAAGTATTCATCTGATATATTTGTATACTAAACTTCATTTCAGTATGTGCAACGGTTGTGAAGGAAATGAACGGAAACTAAGTGGACTGACCAACAGACAGCAGCAAAGCCATATGCCCTCCCTTCTTCGAAGGGGGGGCATAAAAAGTGGCATAAATTTCTGAAGGAATGGCAAAAAGGTTGGGTTAAAAAATCAAAGATCATTGACAATTTCTTAACATTTTAGAAAATTGAAATTTGCATTACTTGCAACCAAAAAATACAGTATATGTGGAAATTTTAGTGAGACGCAAATTTAGCGATTTTACCTTAAAAGTTGGTAATTTATTTTTAGCGAGATGTATTTTTAGCGATTTTTAAAAAGCTCACTAAAGAATCTATTACAAATAAACCGATATTAATAATTAGCGATATTAATATTTAGCGATCTTGGCACCCTCGCTAATAATGCCAAAATTAAGTCCTCATTAAAAATTCTACTTATACGGTATACCATTCCAAATTACTAATCTTCTAGTTTGCATTTTTATAAGTATAAAGTATACTTAAAAGAGCATGTAAATGTAAATTCTAATATGATCAGATCAGATGTTTCAACTTACTGATTATTTCTACTTTTCCTGGCCTTATCTGGTAGAAGGAAACAGAAATCCTTGGAGATTCACCATGAATAAATGCAAAACGACTTCCTACGGGCTCCCAAGCAAAGGCAATCACATTTTCTGCCAAAGAGATTATCAAAGTGGGTTATAATCAGACTTAATATCAAATGAAGAGTTCAAAGATCAAAATCACCATGCTTTATACTTCCGTAGTTGGGGGGAATATAATACGCACTTTTTTCCTAAAATAAATTTCTGTGAGAAAGGGATGCGTATTTTACATCACAATGGGATTTTGGTAAGTTTTTCTTTCAGGTGAAACGACTATCATACGTACATACCGTAGTATTACCAAGAGACTTATGCAACTTCTTTTGTTTATCGTCATATTTTAAACTTTGGAAAGTTATTGTTGGGAGGTATGTTTGTTAGAAATAACACTTTCATAATATTTTGATACTAAAATGACATGAAAAAGCAAGTTAAAATTAATTTGAGCTCCATGTTTATCGTCTCTGTGTAGGCCGCCATTACCGATGCTATTTTAAGACGTTAACACATTCCTTTGTCACGTGCTTCCGTAATCATAGTACATATGCACCTTATTTGTCTGACAAAGTAATAAGTCATTTTTTTTTATGAAATACAACAAAATAAAAATTTTATTTTAGTTTTTAAATAACTCAGTGAAAATTCACTGCAACACAAACACCCCTTTATACATCCCATTGAAGGGAAGCCAATGTCGTGACACACATGCGCTGGTCACTTGATAATTACCTCTCAACACCCCTCCAGGCAATTAATTGTCTACCGACTCCAAAGCAATGTTTTTACAGTTATAGCAATGATTATTTTCACTGTCCTTTTAATTGCTTTGATTATTTTCTTTCTTAAAAAGCGAGGGTCGGTTTGTAACCTTTCGTATGTGTGAGCGTGTGTTGTTTACGACACATTAAACAATTAAACACTTGTTAAATGTAATTTTACCTTATCTTATACTTATCGAACCCTTTTTTAAATAATTGAGAGTTAACAAATTAAATATGAAGTATGCTAAAACTTAAGTGTTATCATTTATTCATGCTCTGTAGAAAATAAAATATCCGCACGATTCAGAAGAGGAAAATCATAGTCTTCTTAATTTTTAAAATACTTTGATGTTTCAATTTCGTTTTTCCATGATGACCTAGAACCAAAATTTAATATGAACTGTTAAAACTTGCAACAATATCTCATGCTTTGTTGATATAAAATTATTTCACCAAAGAATTATATGGCGATGTATTATTTCAAAATCACCGTATGCTTAAAAAATAAATTCTCTTAACACTTTTACGCAACATTATCTTGTGCTTTGTTGAAGTTAATGAATAAATAATTTTCTTCATATTGCCGCGATATGGAAATTGCAGATTAAGAAAAAATTATAAAATTTTTTTTTTTTGACACTTTAATCTTCGCGCCGATTTTCGTTACAAATTACCGCGATTTTCAAAGTTCAGAACATCGTTTGGTAAAATTTTCTGTTGCGTATAATACATCCGAACTGCGTTTTTTTCCCTAGTTCCAGACGCAAAAAGGGGGGTGCGTATTTTACATCAATGCGTATTATATTCGGCCAAATACGGTATTCTTACCTTTGACTTCCACTTTATCTACTGGAATCTGTTTTTCTCGGATTCTAAACAGCTCAAAATTATAGTACAATCCCTGCAATTATTAATCACATCGTAAGAATACATTACATTGTCAGAATCATCATTAGGATACATTACTGTACACCAACTTTTATTCGCAAGCAAGAAAAATCTGCGAGTTTTATCCTTTCACTCACGAATATTTCTTGTCGTGAACCAATTATTCATTTGTGTAAAATGTTGGCTTGTTCACGAAAATTAATAGTGGCAGATGGATTCCAAACTTTAGAATTATGAATAAAAGATGTCACAAATAATAGCTGGTTTACAGCACTGTGTAAAAATTAGGAAATTTGTTGACCTTTTACAAAAAATTCCTTTTTTGTTCTGTTGCTTTATTATCTAAACTGTTTCAAAGATACTCACACTGTACTTGAACTGGTCTTTCTCGTCAATCTTTTTGGCCTTGGAGTAACGGTCGACCTTGACACACAGGTAATCCCCATTCTTCTGCCAGTGCATCTTACAGTCAGCCACGTTAAACAGGTTCTTGATACAGAGCTCCTGACGACTTGGCATCTGGATCAGGGTGACTCTGGCTGGCACGTTCTGCTGCTCTGGAACCCAGTAGGCGATTATATTGTCAGAAGGGGACCAGGTAAAATCTCTGAAAAAATATAGAAAATTGTCAGGCTTGTTTCAGAAAACATTAATTTCTTTACAAAAATGTAAATTGGACCAGTATTTACAATGTATCATCATACTATCATGACTCTTATTAATGGACTTTTACCAGAAGCACTGACTTTCACAGTTGACGGTTTACTTGACATTTAAACCTGTATCATGTAAGGAGGTATGGAATTGATAATAGATAAGAACACCTTTCTAGTGGTCATAGGTAGTGCCTGTAAGGGGCACTAACATGTGAAGACCGGGAGTTGAGGGTAGGGTGGTTGACGTTTTCTTTAAGGACAACCAATTTACGCTTTGAAATACCCCATTACTTTTGTCTTGTTTTGGAAAAAATACTTAAAATTTGATAATTTCATCGAGATTGAGTAGCACGCAGTGTAAGGTGTACGTCTACACTCGTCAGATCTCTACAGTGAAATACATTGGCCTGATTAGCGATCTGCTCCTTATATACGGTTTGTAGGGATAGAGTTGAAGAACTGGAAATATCGTACTATGCCTATTTACGAGTAGTGTTCAGCTTTAAGGATGTTTTATCTTACCTTAGTCCAGTTATTTTCAAACTCTTCTTTTCTAGCAATCCCATCGACTGAAAAATACATGGAATACATTAACTCATTTCAAGATTCTAACTTCAAAGACTGTTCTGTTTCAAATGCGTTAAGTATCTGTCTGAATTAGGTAGTATAAATGAACTTACAGGTGTTTCATAAACACTGAGTGTATCTGGAGTAATTCTTCCAAAGTAGGTACCATCATGATTCCACCTGAGTGAATCAACAAATTATTGCTATAAAGTCATCTCATTTATAAAATACTCTTCAAGTAATATTTCTTCACTTTTTTAAACATTTAAAAGCCTGTATTTATTCAGTAATGCCAGTATGTATAGTTTATTTGGTAATTTATGGCAAATAAATGACTGAAAAGCTGATAGCTGACAAGTATACTGACTTGAGTATTGGCCAGGTGGACTGTGTCTCGCAATGAAATCCTCTCTTCTTCATGCCCGTCCTGATGTCCCAGATGATGATCTGCTGCTGGTCCTCCTGACTGGACAGAATCGGGCTGAAGGTCACCATGTAGCGCTCACACGGGGAGAAATCAATCAGCTGAACCCCGGGGTGGCTGAACCTCATGATCTGTTCAAACTTCTCCCCTCCCCACAGGGCTATACCCTTAGCATGAAATGTGGCCAGGTAGGTACCTTGTGGTGACCAGCGAATGTAGGTCTCTGTCCATCTCTACAAAATAATTACACTTTGAATTATTCAAAAGGTTCCCAAGTGAATAGAATGAAATATTGTACCCAATGACTGATATATTGTCATTTTAAGTTCTTAAGTGGTTCCTTAGTTTTAAAGATACTAGAATATATGAGTGAATTAGAGTAGAAGAAACATATTTTTTAATATCTCTAAGCATAATTTTTATAATAAGTTTAATTAACAAATTTTAACAATCAACCCAGCTTTAATTAAAATGAAAAACATACTGCTCTTTCTTCCACCAGCACAGGTTCCCTGGTAGTGTTTCTAAATATAGCTGTTCTCTCTCCTCCATCATAAATAACACTGAACTGATCAAAGCAATCAGGATCTTGAAGGAAGTAACGTAAGTTACCCTATAAATAAATAAAAAGTCAGGGTACTGGAGTCATTCTTTTTAATATAATTAAAGTTTAAAGTTCTCACTATCAATATTAATCATGCATAAATTATTATGAATTAAAATCAAAATTAATTTAAATAAATTATCTTCCCTTTTTCCTGATCATTGCTAGGGCTGTGTATTGAGCCAAAAATTTCGATACGATACGAATACAATATTTTTTAAAGCGATATGCGATATATTGGATTCTAGAACAAGCCCATCAGAAAAGGCTTCTAAGTCATTTTAATGCATAAATTTCATAACAATTAAGTGTTTTATTACCCATTTTAAAGTTCTTGTCTCATTGTCATTACAAATAATACTTAAAATCAAATTTTTAATGACAGTAAAATCAACATGTTAAAAATAAAATTCTCTTTGTATTTTGTAATAATTATAAAAACTGTGTTATTTCCTTACAAATTATATAATTATTGAACAGTTTTAATTCAAAAAAGTGAAATATAATCTTTGGTGATTGAAATTCCCATCTTTTTAACAGAATTAGAAGAAAAACTGTCTGTCCGATACGTATTGGAAGTTATTTTTCGATACAATATTTTTCTTGAATATCGATACGTATCGATATATCGATATATTGATACAGCCCTAATCATTGCACAAGCTCATTTAGAATAAAATCAAATTCATTTTGTTTTCATCTTAAATCATTAAATACACTGGAAATATATTTTATATGAGGCACAAAACACTTGATTGGGTGATCGTAAATAATTTAATGAGATATCTGCATGTATTTACCATAAATGGAGGAATAGAGGAAATTCGGATTAGGAAAAAACGATCATTTTAGAACTACAAAACAGATAAGATTATGGAGATTTATTGTCAATAGGAGCATGTTGTCTGGAAAATTTAACTGGTTGGGAATTTTATATCAAAAAGAAGTGAAAATACTGATTGTGCTTGCCATGTTGTATTGTGTGTGTAGTTATATTTTTTACTAGCCCGACGGGCTACCTCCTTGTAGAAAACAACTAGCCCGATCCCAAAAATGGTAGCCCTGGGCGTCGGGAGATGCTAATTGGTCACCCCTGGTACATAAGAACAGTTACAAGGGCATCTTGTAAAACTTCACAGACTGCTTCAAAGTACAAACAAACTAACTAAATCCCGCGCTTCTGTCATACAAATTTCCAAGTCTTTTATGCGTTTTGTGTAAAAAGTCGAGAAAAAAAAAATTGTATTCGGATATTTTCGCGCGCAAATTTTATTTTTATAATATTATAATTTGGATTTGTTAAAAATAGAGGCGGCGAATCTGACGAACTATATTAGAAATTGGTATGGCCTTAGCGAGGAGATGCTCCCCTTTGGGTGCCCTTGTTTTCCATCACCCCTCCTCCCCTCTCCATGTTATAAGGATACCCTCTCTCTCTTGTAGACATTTCAAGATCATTGACACCCCCCTCCCTTTCTGTGTAAAGGATACCCTCTCTCTCCTGCAGTATCTGTTCCTGTTGGTTGACCATCTGTATCACCTGTTTCTCGTACTCCCTCCTCTCTGTCTGTAGCTGTCCCAGTACAGCCTCCTTCTCATCCCCCATTCTGTAATGTCAAACAAATAATTAAAAACTTCATACCACAAAAGCTATAAATGGACAATTACAAATCATGTATATTCTACATTCATAAGCAACCCAGTTTTTCAGTTTTCTCTCTACAAGTTTACAAATCTTCATCATGTTCTAAATCATTAAAATTGTGTTAAGGAGAATGGGGAGTCAGCAAATTAACCATCAGATATAACTTAATTTTTAAGATATAATATCTTAAGCTGTCAACTATCATTTGGCAAAGAAAAATTTCATACTCTTTAGTTTTAAAATTTCATCATTTTTGTATATCTTTATGAGGGCTGGGACGATATATCGAGATATTGATATATCAAGATATCTGTGAGGACCAATCTAATTAAAATCAGACTTCTTAGATCTGCGCCGTATACACTCTGCATAAGAAGATCTGATGATACGCATATCGATACATATGAAGAAATATCAAAATATTGCCAAAAAAAATCTGACTTCTGTTTTTCTTTCTTTAACATTTGGGGTTTAAATATAGATATGAAATAAACTATAATTAAAAACACTTGAGTAAAAAAAAATTTGTTTTACAACATATAAACAACTATTTTGAATAAATTTTTCGGTAATTTGCTTATCTTTCAATGCAAAAAAAGATTTTATTAGCAATTAAACATATCATGATACTTTTCGTATTGTGACTCAAATATCATGATACGTATCAAGATAGAAAAAGTTGTATCGTCCTTGCCCTAATCTTTATATGGAGCTCTTCTTCTAAAGGAGATTAATTAAGTCCAAAAATGGCCACAACCACCCAGCCCTCTTAAAACTCAAACATACTTGGCTAATTCCTTTATGAGGTTAGCGACACGCTTCTTGTCATCTGCACACAGGTCTTTCAGCGACACTTTCTTCAGATTTCCTCGGAAGTGCTTGTGAGGCTGTTCGTGAAGACTCTCAACTGTTAACTAAAATAAAATTCACATAATCACACACCTGGTTTTTTTTTTCAATTGTTTACTGACCACTGTTCCAGGAAAAATCCTTGATTCAATGACTTAAATTAATGAGCATACCTGTCACATCCCAAATATTCATTAAATGTCAATGCAATGCAGATCAATCCAAAGATTGTTTATGGTTAAAAATAAATAAACAATATTTATGATTATTAATGAAAAATTCCATATTATCCAAAACCCTGAAAAATCTGCCAATATGAAGTAATAAACATGATTGTATCCATGAATTAAAATATCTAACTTAAATTCCTTTTATTTTTCAATATGACGTTCTTGGATTATAGATATCTTAGAAGATACAGTGTCTTTAAATTTGATGAGTCTTTAATATCAAGGTTAAAATAAAACATATGTTTTATTAAAAGAGTGTGCTAGAGGGCTTAAATAGGCTTTGCCTGCTGCCTAATGCCATTCACTTTAATTTGTGAAAAAAAATTGTGTAAATAAAAAATAATTTTTCAAACAAAATACCACTTATTTAGAATAAATGGTTATTTGCCTTTAGAATACATGTGTAACTTACATCTTGTGTAATTGTGGTGGCATCAGCTGACAAGTTCATGACCTTCACTGGAGACTTCACAGGTATTGTGGCCTTGACCTCTGTGGTTTTCCGACCTGATTTCACCTGACTTGACCTCATTTTCTTTGGTCTGGTTGGACGACGATTACCAGGTGCAGTCACTCCTAAAACATCAGAGTACATCTTAATTCATAGTTTTTGAGATTGATTCTATTATGTGTAACCTGTTAGGCCAAAGTGAAATTTGGTTTGGATCCCCTTTGCAATTCCTATTAAAAACTTTTCAAAAGGCAGCTGTGATTTAAAATAGTTTCTAATTTCTTTGAATGAACAACAAAGCAATGCATTAATTCTAGCATAAGCACTTGGAATTTTAAATTCTAAAAACTATAATAAAATATTCTTAAAAACTTTTTTTAAGCTGCAGAGAGAAAAACGAGTTTTAATTTATGGCATAATGGATAGCATTGAATGTAATTTCAGCAAAATGTAGATTAAAATTCAAGATGAACTGATAAGCAAACTGTGTAAACACTTCAGTTCATTTTGATTTTTATCTTTTTATATCAAAATGACTGATTTACAAAATTTAAACACTAGTAAGCCTATGTGAGTCTTTCTAAATGTACTGAACAAATATTCAATTTCATTTTCTGAATCAGTAATAAGTCATGATAAAATTAAACAATTTTTTGGCAAATGGGCAAGCTGACATGCAATATTAAAGACCCAATTTTTTTACCGTACGGTTACCTGAGGAGGGGGAGTGGTCGAAGCAACAGTGGTGTTATTTACCTGGAGACCCCCAATACCCAAGATGTCAAAAATCTATATACACGTAGCATTACACAGGAAGTCTGTGTCTGGGGATCAGGGTCAACATTTCGTGTTTCGTGTCTAAATTAGAGTGAAACTACTTGAAATAACTGAAATATTTCAATATAAAATTTATTTATTTATACTACAGATGTACTATCAGAGAAAAAAAAATTATAAAGAAACATCGTTTTTATATATATTAATAAATGAAAAATTAACGAAAAGAACACAGAGTAAAACTACAAAGTAAACATACCTTTTTTAATTAAAATTGTGTAAATATCAAAATTAAAAATATATAATGAAATGTTCCATTCATAGGCCTACCCGTCGTGTGAACATATACAATGTACCGCGATAGGAATATTGCTTACGTTCTGACCAACAATATAAGTGTCGAAAATATTCACCATTTCCGGGCATTCGTGTGTTTTTTATTGTTTGCAAGATTTCTTTCATACGTACTTTTAAGAATTCATCTTTGGCTTTATCTGTTCACTTTTTGATTTCGAATATTGTGTATAGACAGACGTTAGTAAACTCGAACTAAAAGTTACAATCTCGAAACTCATGTTTCTGACATTTCGGAACTTTACCACGGAACATGGTGTAGATTGTATTCATATATACATAGATATAACATGGTATAAAGGATTTTTTTTTATCCATGCCGTTTGTATCTTTTCTTATTTATCACATTCCGATTTTAATCGGCAAATAGCGTTTCTGTTACTAAATTTTACAGCAGATATCTTGGGCGACATATCGCCTAAAATACAATATAACCGTTGAGATTGAAAGCAAATATTTTACGAAGTCATGTTTTAATTATCTACTCTCAATTGTTTTTTAAATAAAATTTTACCAAGTTTCTTTTTTTAATTCCCTTGTACACAAGGCGGCTACATGAAAGTGTTTGACGCGTGACCAGGCAATCCATTTCAAAGGACACAAACTCAGACTATCAGGTAGCACGGGTAGCTGGCCTGTCAATCAATTCAGAAGCTATTGTTTTTCTAATGATTGACAGGCGGTAAATTATTGATCTTGAATCAGGTAGAGTTTGGGGGCGTTAACATAAAATTGGGTGTCTTTCAACGCATGCGCGAAAATAATATTAGCTCGTACCACAGTCACCTTTTTTCTTCAATTTTATTTTTTCAGACAGTTTAATTAAATCAATTGTGAACCAAAAAATTAATTAATAAATGGACTCGCACTATTTTCTTAAGATATCGACATAATAAATATGACCTTACAGATTTTATCTTTATTTTAAGTTTCACATTCATGCCATTGAAATGACAAAAAGTTGTATATATTTATGTATGATAAATAGTTGAAAGAAAAGCAGAATTTTGAACACTGTGGAGTCACAATTTCTTAATATTCTAGAAACTTTATATTTGCATCATTTATAACCAAAAATTGGTCAAAAAATAAAAACCAGTCTATAAATCCAGGATCTTCTCTATTTTCAACCGCAGGATAAGTGCTATTCTGTCACAGAAACTTAATTGACGTTTTACATTTTTTCTTTAAATTAACAAAAAAAACATCATGTAATGTAATAGTGCATCATTATATCGTATGGATTTTTTTATTATGAAAACAATGTTGTAAACGGCGAGTTGTGATTTTCCTTCAGAAAAAATGATAGTACATGCATTATTGAACCGAATGACTGTTGGCTTAGAGTCAAAGTAAAGTATCAAATCTCTTTACATGTATCTTGGTTAAATATATTTCATTAATACTTGATTTCAAACTCCACTTGATTTTAAATAAAAGGACAGCCTCACACTTACTACAGGATACAGGTATGTTGTACTGTTATTCACACACAAGAAGAATAAGATAAGATACCCAATTTGGTGTCCTCTACCTATTCTCACTTTTTAAAATTCTCGACTCCACCTATTCCCATTTGCAAATAACAATAGATGTTTAGATAATTAATTTGCTTTTACACTGAATAGTTAGACTAATTACAAATCCCCTCTTAGATTAACCTGCATTTTGTATATCTTTGATAGATAATAATGAATAGAGTTATAAAAATATATTTTATTTCATTTAAATATTTGGATTTCAGAAATTAACAAAAAAGGTCTTACCAAATAAAAAATACACACACTTTAGAACATAGAATAAATAGATTCATTGAGAAAATGTGATATCTATAAGTCTGGGTATTCCAGGCGGAAAAAAAGTTATAATAGCCTGAAAAAGTCATGATACTCTGGTAATTTTGTAGAAAAGCCTCAGAATTTGCTCTTCATTGCTGATGTTGAGTTAATATATTAAAATT